CCTGACACTTCCCCAGACAGTGAGAGCCACGCGGAGAACCAGAGTTCAGGGCAGACTGGGATGGGGGCTGGACCTGGAGGTGCAAAGTGTGAGGGATCCAGAAGAAGGAACGGGAAGAGCATGGTAGGAGCTGGGGGTTCTGGGGAGGATTTGTGCAGATGCTCAACAGGTTGAGATATGGGTGGAGAGAGGAGGCAAAGTCTGAGGCCCAGAACAGTGAGTCAGGTAGGGGTGGGGGAGAAGGGGCTGGGGAGGAGGCTGAGGCAGCCCAGAAGTGTCAGAAGGCCAAGTGTGCCCGCATGTCCTGTGCCATGGGTGTGTCTTTCCAGGCTGGGTCCCCAGCAGTGGAGACGGCTGTTCCCAGACAGGGGCCGTGATAACTCTTTTAGAAACATCCTCAGCAGGTGCTGGGAGTGTTTGCACAGGGCAAGGCTGGGCAGGTCCGGTCCTGTGGGAATGGCCGCCTGTCCTTGTCCTTCGTCCCAGAAGAGCCCCACCCTCACTTCTCCACCTGGGCCTGCCATGGTCTCAGAGGCCACTTCCCTCTGGGCAGACTGGCCCCGTCATCCCTTCCTGGGCCCTGGGCCACAGCGAGGGGTGGACAGAACCATCTAGAGGTAGACTATTTCTTCCCCCCAGAAAAAGGGGGGATTATCATCATTCTCCTCCCACCGTGTGACCTTGGGTGAGTTATTTTCCCTCTCTGGACCTCAGTTTCCTAATTACCATGGCGGGTTTGAACCTGTGGTCTCCAAATGTGGGAACTGGGCTAGCTGCCGCAGAGGCACCTAGGGAGTCTGCTAAAAATACAGATGTTTCTGGCCCTACCCTCAGAGGATAGGATACATCAGGGCTGGGCAGGGGTCCAGGCAGCTGTAGTTTTAGTAAGCACCCAGTTTGGGAATACTGCATCGAGCACCCCCTTCCCTAGTTCCCACAGACACACTGGGAGCTGGAAGGTCCAGTTGTTGGCAAGCCCCGCCCCAGCCTTCCTGCTTCCCCTTTCCCCATCCCGCTCTCCTGACTCAGCTAGGTCAATATTGACCATCGGCCCCTCCCCTGCCTCTGACTCTGAGCCACCTAATGCCCCCCACCCCTACAAGCCCCGTGGCTGAGGCCCTGACCTTGGGTCCGTTGAGTCAAGGTCAAAACAAGGCTTGCGACCCAGAGAGTTTTATTGCTGTCCCACGACCTCCCGCATCCCCCACCTCCCACTGGTCCGGCAGGGCATCCAGGTTCCGTGGAGAAACCACAGTGCTCCTAATTATTAACTCCATCCTGCAAGTAAAACCCATCCCCGAATCCTGCTTCAAAGAGGTGGGCTCTGCTCCTCCCTGCAGCTGTCCATGGCACGATCTCTAGCAGAAGGTTGACTTGCCCAGGTGGAGGCACAGAGCTCTCTCCTGCCCATGGCTTTCCCCCGAGGCACCTCCGTGGGACACACAGCTTCTGTCCAATCCACTCATTTTACGGATGGGTACACTGAGGCCCAGCCTCCCACGCACTTTGCCGTGGAACAGAAAGGTGCCTACAAGCCCTGGGCCTCCATCTTGGCCCGGTTTGGGCTCCAGGCACACAACCTCTGCCCTCCTTCTCCCTGGGTGGTTGGAGGCAGGAGCTGGGCCCCAGTTTCTTTACCTGTACAAGAGACTGCAGGCTCGTGAAGGTTTCTACATGTTATGTTTCACACTAAGCACTCATCATTTTTTAAAAAAAATATGCATCGAGCATCTATATTATCTCATCTGATCCCCTGCCAGGGGAAAGCTATTCTCTCCACTTTGCATCTGAAGACACGGGGTTTAGAGAGGTGAAACAGAAATTCAGCTGGGTCACAGCCTTGAGCGGTGGAGCCGAGACTGGGCTCTGACCTGCGGTGTCCACGTCTGCCTTGGTGCCTGCCCTCTGCGGTTTTTGAAGGGATGCAGCTCCAGATGCTGTGGACTTTAGTGGGAAAAGGCTTCTTTCCCTGAAATAAAAAGTGATCCTGGATGGGGTGCTGGGGGGGCCTCCATGTGGCCAGAGGGGGCCGGCTGCTGATCCGTCCTGGGGAGAAGGTCAGGCAACAGGAAGTCAGGCGGAGACGAGCAAGGCGATGCTGGCCGAGGATCCGAGGGACGGTGGGCGGGTGGCCCTGGACGCCTTTCCAGGGCAGGACTAGCGTCAGTCTTGGCCCCAGAGGGAGTGGCCTGGAGCTCAAGGAGCCAAACTTTCCATGAGCCACTAGCAAAAAATGAGTCTGAAGAAGAGTGTCCACCGCAGACCTGCAGGCTCAACAACTCAGAGTCACGTGGACTTTGGAGGGGCTGGAACCACCTTAACTCTTTGCTGGCTGTCCCCAGAGCCACCAACAAACTGCTTTCAGCATGATGCTGCTGAACTGGCACTGTGGGTCCCCAAAGACCCATGGCCAGGGAGGGGCAGAACTGGGAACAAACCTGGGTCTGTGTGGCTGAGCAGCCTGTGCTCCCAACCCCCATGATGTCCTACTGCCACCCCAAGGGCTCTGGGGTCCAAGGAGTGGGCTATAAGAGTCTTAACTGCATGGACATGTAGTGGGTGGTCTCAGAAGGCAGGGGCAGCCTGTTCAGGCCAGCGGGGCTGTTGGGGCCACCAGCACTAAGACCAGTGTCAGTGAGGTTGAGGAAGACTCTAGGAGTCCACACCCGGTGAGGACGGAGGGCGTATGGAGGGCATAGTTAAACAGATAACATGATTGCCGTGGGTGGATGGGAAGACACTGGATCAGGAGCTTGAGCCTGCTCAGGGTACCACGCGGGGATGAACTTGGCCAAGGCGGCGGAAAGGAACACAGGGGCAAAGGTCTACTGAGGATCAAACACCAAGCTAACCCCTGGGACCCCTGATGTTGTCTGTTGACCCTCACTTGACCTTGGGAATATGGCTGATCCTAATGCTAAGGCGCCCCTCCGCCCTCTGTTCCTCCCCCATGCTTGCTCTCACATATCATTGGCTGGAAGTGACTAAGGATGGTCCAGTGCCCCATCTCAGTGCTTTTCAACACTGCCCAAGGGAACACCTTCTCTGATGGGTCCCCAAACAGGAATGAGGGCCGCAGGGCACCTTCCACCACACTCCAGCCAGGCATCCCAGAGCAGCGCCCCCACAAGCCTTCCAAGGTCAAGGGTCCATGGACACAGATATTAGCTGAGAAGGAGGTCAGAGCACCAAGTGGGGCTGGGAAGCCCTGGGCCTGGTCTCAGCTCCAACACATTTTCACCTGGGACCTTGGGCAAGCCCTGCCCCTCTGCTTGCTAATCCCTTAGTCTGCAGAGCCGTCTGGCCTGCAAGAGAGGCGGACAGGAGGCCTTAATTGAGCCACGCTGTTTTACATCTTTTGACCCAGTTGCTCATGTTTAAAAGTGGGAAATTTCTCATAAAAGTTCAGATTTCCAACTCCTCTTAAAAAGCAAGGTGTCTGGGCACCCCGGACCCGCAATTCTGAGGGTAGCCTCCCCGTTAAGAGAGACACGCTTTCTCCTCTGGTTCGCCACAGTCCCCACCACTCCCTCCTGTCTCTCCAGTACTAAGAGTCCGTTGCCACTTATTCTCCTGCTCATACCTACAACTTTGCTCACCCAGGTCCCCTGCCTGGCCCTGTAGGTGCTAGGTTCGCCACTCGCCAGGACAGTCTAAGATTCTTAACTGGGCTCTACTCCAGACAGGGCTGATGTTTCCTTGTAGGTGCCTGCTGTGCTGCCATGGAGTCCTCTAGCGGGGGGTCCCTGGTCCCCAGTCAGCTCCCACTGCAGTTGGGGCCTGGCTGGGTCTGTTCTGAGTCAGGGAGACCTGAAGTGAATAAAAGGACTGGGAGGGGAGAAGCTGGGAGATGGCATGGCGGCAGAAGGCGGAGGGGGTGGCGTGGCAGGAAAGGCTGTCTGGGAGCAGCGGAAATGGGAAAAGCAGGACAGCCTGGAAGGCTGGGCCAGGGAGGGCAGTCCAGCAACCGCAGGCCCGGAGGCAGGGTGGCGAGCAGGGGGAAGGGGAAGCAGGAGGATGCAAGGCAAGGCAGGTGAGGCACGGGGAGGCGCAGCTGTGGGGCTGGCAGCCCACGGACTCCCAGGACCCTCCAGTTGCAGCCTCAGAATCTAGGGAGAAGCGTAGACTCCTGGGTTCCCCCATTCCCGGCTTCCAGGACCAGGCTGGGTGAGGAGTATGGACAAGGCCATGACCTGGGCCTGTGGTCTGTCCTAGAGCTCCAGGGGACAGCCTGAGACCGAGGCACTGGGGACAGGGCCACTCTGCAAAGCTGGCACCAGGGGCTCTGCTAGCAAGGCTGGGGCCTGCCCCCTGGGTGTGGGAAGAAGCACTCTGAATTGTGAAGTCCATTCTCACATCCTCCTCCGCAAATTAGCAAACCCATCTCTCTTCCCCACCTAAAACCCCAAACAAAGAGGGGTGGGAGGGGGCCTGGCCCTTTGTTAGGGGAAAGTTATTAATATCTGAAATATGCAGGCATGCAGTGCCCTTCCTTTTTACCCCCAATCAAAGCCTTTGCAAACACCTGGGCCTCGCATTTAAAAGGCTCTGGGCTCTTTTATATGACAAGATCCCACTAGGATGGGGCGGGGAAAACCAGGAAAGTCTTCCAGCCTGGGAAACCCTTGACTCCTTCCAACCCTATCCTCACCTGCAGGGAAGGCTGGGGAACAGCCGGAGAGGGGAAGGGGGATGCTTGGGGCCCAGTTTGTCCCCAGCTCTGCCTGCCTGGGCTGCGTAACCTTCCCCTCACTGGGCCTCGGTGCGTCCATATGTATAACGGGGAACTAAGAGGTCTTTAAGGGCCTTCATTCCTTCTCTTCGTCATCCTTCCTCAGCCCCAGCCACCCATCATTGCCGTAGAGAAACTGCAGAGCCAAGTGTCAGAAACCAGGAGATCCGACAGGAGGCAGCTGAGGCTCATCTGTCCAACGGGAGCTGGAAAGCCCTGTGCTACCCACCTCGTGGGTCTCAGCAGTAAGGAGACAGGGGAAGGAAGATGACCTCATTGTTGTTTATTAACGGAAAACCAACAGAACACACAGATGGGTGGGTGAGACCCCAGGAGAGAGATGGGGTGCAGAGCCCGGCACAGCTGCACGAGGGCACCCTGCCCCACTGGACAACGCCATGTGCAGGAGAGCCGCTCAGACATTTTCACACCCCACCCTGCTCTCTCAGGGAAGAAGGGACCCCAGCGCAGCCCCTCCTGGGCCTGGGGATTGACGATAACTAGGCTTCTGGTCACAGGCCTGCAGCTGCCCTCCACTCTCTGCCCCCACCCTCATATTCGGGCGCAAGGCCCCTCATCCTGGAGCTGAGTGGGCAGCATTAAGACCGACAGCCTTATGTGTGGACCATCTCCGAGATTCCTAGTTGCATTCTCGGAAGTGCAGGGTCCCCTCTCTGTCTCCATCCCCATCCACTCCCCCCAGCTCAGGCCACCTGCCCCTCTTGCCTGTCCTCCACAGGCCTCCTACCCCACCTTGTCTCCACTTTGCACACTGAGAACGGCATTCTATCTAAAGCACAACCAGATCATGCAAATCCTTTGCCCATCTCACAGCCCTGGCTCCGCCTCCCCGTCATTCTTCATTCCCACCTGCACCCGGTCCTAACCTGGGAATACCTGCTCCTATGCCTTTGAACTTTGTCGCAGGCAGTGCACCTCCTCTTGGCCCCAGGGGAAGAGGAGGGGGCTACATTCTGTCCTCCACACCTTGGCTGTGTCAGCCCCTCTCCCAGAGACCGTCCCCCCATTTTGCCCTCTTCCCCCCATCCTCTCTCCAAACGTGCTCACCCTCCAAGGCCCTCAGGTCCTGCTTCCTTCAGGGCACCTGGCCTGTGCACATGAGCCCACAGGGATCTTTCCCCCACCTGACTCGCTAACCCTCCGTGCCTGGGGCTTGTGAGCCCAGCTGGAGATTCTGGCTGTGTTGAAGGGTGTGGAACAGGCTCTTCGAGAAAAAGGAGGGGTCTGGGCCTTGAACAGAGATGAGAAGGTGGTGCCAGCTGCCACATGACGAAGTGAGCTGGCTGGTCAGGAGGCCTGGGGTCCAGTCCCCTCTGCCACCAGACCTCTGGCAAGTCTTCCTCCTTGGCCTCAGTTTATCCATCTGCCAAGTGAGGGCTGAGCTGGATCATTCTCAGCTTTGCGTGCGTGTCCGTGTGTGTGTAGGGGGTAGATAAAGGTTTCAGGAGAGGCAGAGGCCACAAAAAGGGACTTGCATTGGATACCAGCAACCTCCCACAGCCTCAGCCCTCCCAGAGCCCCTGGGGCAGGGCCTCCTGTCCGCCTGTCTCCTGCCTCACATCACAGACTCCTCCTCCTCTGCCATCTCTCGGTCCACCTCAACGGCCGTGTTCTCAAAGCTGGTGAGGCCTCCGTACTTGCGCATGTGCACCATCAGTGGCTTGGGCGACTGGCTCCCGGCCAATGTGGCCACATACACGCCCGTCCGGTTCTCCTCCAGCGACGGGCCCCAGTCCATGGCCGGCCGGCTGGCCTGCTGGAGCCTCTGTGGAAGAGCAAAGACCGTGAGAAGAGCCAGCGCTCATGGAATGCTTCCTGGGGCCGGGCACCCACAAAGACTTTCCCACATCACCTAGGTCAGTCCTTGGGACACCCTGGGGGCTGGGGCACTGTTACTTCCCCAAAGGAGTGAGTCACGTGCCTGGATGAGACTCTTGCTCCGCCATGCACAGGCCTTTGAGCACAGAATTTAAGCTCTGCTTTGTCATCTGTAACTCAGGACTCGTGATGCTCTCATAGGATTATTATGCAGGGTGCTGGGAACAGGTTTAGGCCGTGGTGGCTGTGGTTATGATTACATGGCAGCCAATCCAGGACCCCACTCCGGGCCCCTTTCTTTAAATGCTGTGTCCTAAGGAGCTGGCAGCTTTGGGGAAGCAGCTGTGGACTGGGAGAACTAAGGCGGGGATTGCCGCTGACCTTCCGAGGGTCTGACAGTCGGCCTGGTTCTGACTCCGATGTCTGACCTTTCCCTCTCTGAGCCCGTTTCCATGCGAGGAGGGAGCTGACTAAGATGATGACTAAGCCTGGACATTCTAGGGCTCCTTCTTCCTCAAACCACATTCCCAAAGCCCTCTGCCCTGCCAGGGAGAAGGGCCCCAGATCCTTCGCGGAGGAAAGATAACCAACATTAAGCGGAGACCATGGGGTGCAGATTCAAGGGAGAGTACGTGAGCAACGCCCTTAGCCCAGGGCTTAGCATGGCCCCCCAGCCCAAAGCACGGTGAGACTTGTTAAAATCTACTAAGAGTACGTCATCCCACTGCTCAGAAACCTGCCAGTGACTTGTCATCTGCCTTGGAATGAAATCCGAAGTGCTCGCCACGGCCTCCATGTCCCAGTCTCTGTCTGGCTCTGACCTCAGCTCCTGCCGCTCTCCCTCCGCCCACTCGGGTCCGGTCGTGCCGACCTCCTTGCTGCCCTCAAACACGCCAGCCCCTCCTGCCTCAGGGCCTTTGCACTAACTGTCCTTCTGCCTGGAATGCTCTCCCCTTAGATTTCTGTACTGATCACCTCGTCAACGTGGTCAGGTCCCTGTTGGTGCAGGAAGCCCTGGCCTCTGAAGTCAGCACTCTGGAGCCGGTCAGTGACTCCTGACTCCTCTGCGGGGCTCCCTACCCGCACAACAACAGGCCCCTGCCCCCGCCCCCACCCCGCTGGGCTGGGGCAGCTGGGGCAGCAGGGTGGGCGGGAGGCAGAGCAAGGCTTGGGAAACATAAGCTTCCAGGAGGCCGGAGCCCTCCACACCCCTCCTCCTTCCTTCTCAGACACCCTGGCTCTCAAGCCAGGAGCCGAGTTTCCTGTAGAAGCACAAGTGGGGTTCTTGAGGTTCAGAGAAGGGCACGGGTTTTGCCCAAGTCACACAGCAGTGGGAAGCAGAGCAGCAGCTGGACTCTAGGACCCCCTACGGTCTGGCCGGTGTGGCCACAACACACTATTGCAGGGAAGAACTCTGAGCCTCTCTCCAGGCGGAGACATGAAGGTGGAGCGAGGGACAGCTCGGGGAGTGGGGCTAGCAGTGTGCTGGCAAGCAGGCTGAAGAGAGGGACGGAAGGGGGCCGAAGCCTTGATTTGTAGCCAGTTTCAGTGGTATAAATATTCCCACCAATGCCAAATTCAAGCGATCAATAGTTTATCAACTGGGTCACAACATTCCTGAATATTTAACAATAAGCTCTCATGAGGCAGTACCAGCTGGCTCCAGCGCACTGCCGATGGGATGTGGGGTGGGGTCCCCAGGGTCTCTCTGGGGCCCAGCTGGCTCACTCAGCTCTGCCCACTAGGACAGCCTCTTGCCACCAGAGGACTCCACGCCCACAGCCTCAGGAGTGGAGGACTCAGTGTATAGAAGGCTCCCTGAGACTCAGGGAGGAGCAGGATCACACAGCGTCACAGCATGTCCACGGACCCACGAAGGGTCACTGCTCCCCTCTTCCGAGGCTTGCAGATCCCCGTGCTTTCTGGGTCTCTCCGCAAAGACCTGACCATGGGCAGGGCTCCCACCATCATCCATTTCCAGGTCACCCATGGACCACAGCAGGGCTCCTGGGCACAGAAGGGTGACAGCCCACCCTCCGGGGTAGGTCACCATTGCCTTCTGACCCTGAGTTCCACAGGGAAGCTTTGGGCTGGAAAGCAGAGTTCAAGTCCTGACCCCTCTGCCTGACTCACTGTGGGACCTTGGGCAAGTCCCTGTCCTCTCTCCAGTACAAACAGGCATTGACTGACACTGGTGGTCTTTGGATTGAGCCCCTCCAGATGCCCTGTGTGGCGTGAGGGGCCACAGGGCCAGACTCTAGCCCTCCGAACCTGCCACAACCTAAGCAGTTCTGCAATGATTCATGACTCAGGCTATTGGTTAGAAAAACTGCTCTTCAGGTTAAAAGAAGCTTGCAAGGCCCTGGATAAGGTGTTGGCGTGGGTGCTTTCTTTTCTAGCAGATGGGCCCAGAGCTGGACCCCAGGTCAGGAAAGCTTAGGGTAGGCAGAGGTGCAGCCAACTCACCTCCCAGAGCGAGCCCTCTTCTCGAAGCACAGCCACCAGCATGCCGGCGGGGATCAGAAGGCAGGACAGCAGGCCCATCAGGATGCCCAGCAACTCCGCCCAGGCTGGGAAGCGGTAGCTGCCGTACTCTGAGGGCTGGTACTTGATGATGCTATACACCAGCAGGGCCTGCAGGTAAGGGGCTCCCAGCATCATAGTGGGCCTGGGTTGGCCCAGGGCTTGGGATAGCCCAGGTCCGAGCTACCTTAAGGCCTGAGATAACCTAGCCCAGAGACACCTGAGATAGCCTCATCCTAAGCGGTACCAGAATCTGAGCTGGTCCATCTTTGTTTTGGAACTTTGGCAAACCTGAGTTAGTCCTGCTTTAAGCTCACCCAATGCCCAGGCCTCAGACAGCCCAGCTCCGAAGCACCCTAATTCTTGAGATGGCCTATCCCTGACCTGCTCCAACCCCAAGGCTGAGAAAGGAAAGCCGCAAGGCTCCAGCGCTAAGGCCCAGAGGCCTGAGAAAGCCCCGTTCATTTTGCCAAACAAAACTCAGGACGAGGCCAAACACAGCTACAAAAGCTGGAAGCATCAAGGGGAAGGGGAGTAGACCAGGATCCAGGTGGCCGCCCCGCCCCTCAGCCCCGACAGAGGTCCACTCTGGGCCAGGGCAGCTCTGCCAGACTGAATGCCCAGGGGGGCCCTGCTCTCAGTCCTGGGCCCCCAGCCAGCAACCCTCCCTCCCGCTCCGGTTACCAGGAGTGTGGCCGGGGACAGGAACAGCCAGCAGGCTCTGAAGTAGAGGCCCGGCTTGAAGCCCAGCATCATGTGGATATCCCGGCAGAACCTCTGGATGCCTGAACAGGGGAGGGGAGGAGGATGGCCCCACCCACAGACCCCACACGTGCTAGCAGCCCCTCCTTAACCCCAACGGCCCCCTCCGGAAACCCTGGCCCTTAGGACTAGGGACCCAGTTGCAGAGGGGCCCCAGGGTAGACTCTCATCTCCCACTGTGGGGAGCCTCCACTCCACCTCCCTTGGCCCCTCTCACCATATACCCGGGTGACAGCAAGGCATGTAGTTATCACCACCACCATTAGCCCGAAGCTGGCGCTGTAGTCATCTAGAAGGACCAGCCAGTACATGCCCCCCTGGAAAACAAATCACAGCTTTGGGGTCTCCTCGCCAAGGCCTGGCTCCCTGCCGCAGCTCCTTCTCCAGGCAGGAAGCAGCCAGGCCAGCAGGGAGAGCAAGCTGATGACAGTACCACTGTCTATCTGCCAAGCCCTTTATACACATCATCTTATTTGAGTCTCAAAACAACTGAAGATGGAGATCCCCACGTTATTGATGAGAAAACAGGCTCAGGGAGGAGAAACCACTTGTCCTGAGCTCGCTCATCAAGTGCAGAAGCAAGTCTTGAAGCGAGTTTTGGAGTCTTTTAGACTCCAAAGCTGGGACTCTGGATCATAGGCCAAGCTTCCCCTTGGGAGAGAGGGTCTCGGGTGGGCCAGGTTCCTTCCAAAGAGGAAGAAGTGGCTTGGGGAGTGTCCAGCCTGGCTGCAGACACTGCTACAGGTGTCTCCCCAGCCTTGCCCGCTGGTTGCCTGCCCCGCAAAGCCACTCACGTCAGTGGTGAGGACCAACCCCATCAGGTACATGGCCACGCAGATGAGCCCAGAGAACACGGCCTTCTTGGGTCGCAGGTAGTATGGGAACTCATCTGTCACAGCTGTCACAATGGTCTCCAGAAAGGCAAACTACAGGAAGTGGGGAGGAGGGTCAGAGTTCTGCCCGCATCACGCACAGACACACAGACCGATACAGACCCACACAGACACACAGATACAGACCCACACAGACACACACAGACACACAGACACAGACCCACACAGACACACAGACACACGCACACACACAGACTCACACAGACACAGACCCACACAGACACACACACAGAAATGCACATATCACACTCAGACACATTGCACATAGACACACACAGATACATAGTCACACATCTCACACACACACACATCACACACACACATGAGATGCCCACGGGCACAGACGAGGCTCACCTGGCTGTCCAAGCCCAGAGTCAGCAGCATGAAGAAGAAGAGGAAGGACCAGAAGGGTGACAGAGGCAGCATGGTCATGGCCTGCGGGTAGACAACAAAGGCCAGGCCTGGGCCTGGGCCAAGGGCACACGGGGTCAGCAGCCTGGGGCGCATGGCTGACCCCCGCAAACATATTCAAACACACACGGTCGCTTACACCCACTTGGCCAACCCAGAGATGTACATTAACTGAACGCTTCTGATTCTTACTCCTAGGACACGTGCCAGCACATCGTCAGTGTTAAATAAACATATGTTGATAAAATAAACGAAGTAATAATAAGTACATGAATAAACATGAGGCCCAAATATAACGCCTCATTTGAATACATTTGTGTACTTAACCATTTGCACAAACAATCCTACTAACATACATACCGAAACACATCCATTGGCACAAGACACCGACTCACATCACTCGCACCCTCAATTCACTTGTTCACAGTCATCCCAACACAGGAGAGGACTCATCTGGACAAGCAAGGCGAGTTACTAAGATGTGACAAAACATAAGACAAACTTATACAGAAATTCGTTTCTCTCCAGGCACAGGTTAACACACACTCATTGGCACACGGACGCCCAGAGACCAGCTAAGACACGTTCATTCGTGCATGCATGCATGCACGTACACACACACTCAACATCCCATCCACAACCTTGCTGGTCCACAGAGAGGCTCACTTGCCCAGGCCCAGCTGTGCCAACACATACCCTCACCCACCAGGGCCCGGCAGCCTGCCTACCCGCTTTGGCGACTTGGTCCACAGGCACACCCAGCTCCTGAGACATATAGCCCAGAACAGAGAAGATGGCGAAGCCTGCCAGGATGCTGGTGATGGCGTTGCCCAGAGTGACGATGAAGGTGTCTCTGCCGGGAGAAGTCCAGGTGCAGGCCAGGTGAGCCGGCCCGGCCTCACCCCCTGAGGCCCTCCCTGGCCAGCCCCTCTCCTCTCCACTCAAGCCCCCAGGGTCCAGAAGGCTGCACTGACCGATAGATGTTCTGGTGAAATGTGTTGTAGGAGGCAAAGGTGAGGAGACCCCCGAAGCCCACACCCAGGGAGTAGAAGATCTGAAGGGCAGCTTCGATCCACACCTGTGGCGGGAAGGATGCAGAGGGAGGGCAGAGAGAAGGGGCTGGCGCACCATGGTTTTCGAGGGCCAAGGACAGAGGAGGACAGAGGTGGCATAAGAGCCAGTCAGCAGGTCCAGGGACGGCCTGGGGAGAGGGCCTGGCTGACCAGTGACGTGGGCCTGGAGCAAACCCAGCTCCAACATTCACACTGTGGGACCTCGGCAAATCTCTTCCCCTCTCTGGGCCTCAGTTTCCCCATCCAAGATCTAGAAGGTAGTCTCTAAACTTGGTCTAGTTCTGAAGGAAATAGTGCCTTGTGTACATGTTTTAGTAAATTCATGTGGACAATGAGCCCCTGTACTTCCTCTCTGGAGACGAAGCTCTACCACTTTCTAGCTATATAGCCTGGGCGAGCCAAATGACCACTCTGGGCCTCAGGCCCCTCATCCGTAACGAGGGGATGGGAATAGGGTGGTGGTAAGTATTCAGTGACTACATATTTGCAAATTGCTAGAGCAGGGTCAGCCATAGTCATCCATTAACAAATAAGAAATATTACCTATCGGTACCATTATTATTATTATTATCACTCATGCCCTCCTTGGGGTGTAAAGTCAGACAGATCTGGTGTAGAATCCCAGCTCTGCCACTCTCTAGCCATGTGACCTTAAGCTGACCACTAACTCTTTGGGACCTCAGTTTTTTCATCTGTAAAATGGGAGAATAATGTCTACTTCATAGGACTATCAAGAATAATAAATGAAAAAAACAGTGCCAAGCACAGTGCCTGGTACTGGGGGGTCACCACGTGGGGAGGCAGATCCCTACCCGCTGCCTCCTCTTTCCCCAGAGAACCTTCTTTCTACTTCCCAGCTCAGGCCTGACCTCTCCCTCCAGACCCCGGGCCCAAAGGCCTCACCTTGGAAGACAACAGGTGGTGGAACTGGGGGGTGAGATAGAACTGGATTCCCTTCCAGGCTCCTGGGAGGGTGACTCCTCGGACCAGCAGCATGAGCAGGATGAGGTAGGGGAACGTGGCTGTGAAATACACCACCTGAGAGACGATAAGCGGGAAGAGAAGGCGGCAGTAACTTTCTCCACCCTTTACTTCTTCCAGAAACGCCCACCTTACTACTTCACCTCCACAACTTTTGGGTAGCCCAAGTCAGACACAGCCATCACCCGCGAGGCTTCTCCTTCCTCCTCTCCCTCCACATACTGATCCCACGAGCACAAGTCCTGTCGCTGCTTCCCAAGGCTGTCCCAACTCCATCTCCTCTCTCCATCTCCGCTGCAGCCTGGTCCAGGCTACCAGCCACTTCCTTCGGCGAACCCACCCCACGTGGTCCTCGGCCATCATGATCATCAGACATTGGCAGTTACCAAATATCCCTCTGCCCTGTCTCTGCCCGTTCCCTAACCTCCAGCCACCCCTTCAGCATTAAGTCTCAGGCTCCTTACTGCCCTGGCTTGCACCATGATTGTCTCTCCTCTCTTCTGAAATGGTTCCTACCCCGGATTTCTAGTCTTTCTTTTAATGCTTCTGTTCCAGGTGGCCAGCACTTCTGAGCACTTTGCAGAGGGACAAGTTCTAATATATAAATGATTGAGTAAACCATTCAGGTTTCTAAGTCCTTCCAAAAACAACTTTATGGCCTTCCTGCCCCTCATAACCTAAAGGAGATGCCTGTGGCTTTGTCTGCCCAGCATCTCATTGACCTTCTTCAGATTCCAGTCTCCTGACCTTGCCTGGCTGGGGCTGATTCCATTCCCAGCTCCACGGGTTGGCAGGTGACCCAGGCCTAGCCAAGCAGAGCACTCCACCCTCCTGGCCACAGTGACTGGTTCAGGGATAAGTGCGCAACCTAGCTTACCCAGTGAGACTCAATTCTAGGATTCTTCAAACTGGGGAAAGTGAGAACCCTTCACTAAGCATGTAAGGTGTAGCCTAGAGCTGCTGAGGCAACTGCATAAAGAATGAAGCCTGAGAGGGAAGCCAGTCTGGAGCGAAGCTTTGAGAACCACACTCTTGCTAACATTATTGAACCCCTAGAACCAGCCATACCTGAAATACACCCTCTCGACTTTCCAATTGAGTATGACAACTAGATTCTGGTCACTTGCATGTCAAAGAGTCCTGACTCATATAGTCACCCTTCAAGCATTCAAGAAACACTTGCTGAGCTTCTTCAAAGAGTGCCAAGCACTGAGTAAGGATCCCGACTTGAATAAGAGGTCTGCCCTTAGCAAGTTTCTAGGCTAGTAAACTCACCTAGCCACTATCCATCCACACCGCCACATCTTTCTTCAGTCACCCCTGCCCTACCAACTCCACGTCCTCTCCCTTCCCCTCTTCCCAGTTGAAGTCTATTCATCCTCTCAAGCTCAGTTCACGCCCTGCCTCACCTTGCCCGAGGACTTCACACCTTTGAGGATACAGAGGAACACGATGACCCAGGCAAGCAGCAAGCAGAGGCAGAGGTTCCAGCGGATCTCCCCGGGACTGCCAATGCCCCGGCTGCCTTGGATGTGGAGGACGTAGCGGCTGTGAGAGACAAAGGTCTGAGTGTACTCCAGTCATGCTGCCATGCCCCACTGACATGGAGGAAAGCCACGGCCAGCCCGCAAGGTGATCCTGGCTAGTCTCTCCATTTGATTCCTCTCCATCCTTTGCCCAGCTCTGCACCCAGGAGGCTGGCCTCTACAGACCCATCACCTACGCTGCCTTCCTCCTCAGTTTCCAGTTGGGTTTGGCTAGTTGGATGTGGTAGCAGGAGACTGCAGGATTGGAGGAATGAGGAGTCGGGGCATTTGCAAACACACACGCACGCATACGCATGCAAACATGCATGTATACACACGCACCATCAGAAGGCCTGGCTGTGACTGCCTTCTTCCACAGCACAGCTCTCATTGGGCAGCCTTTCCTCTGAGGCTCCAAATCTCCCTGGTTCCAGTACCACCAGTCCCTCCGCTTGCCTCCTTGGCTCAGGGGTGTTATGACCGAATCTCTTGCTAGTTCCTGGTGCCTCACCTCTCCGTGTGGATTCCCTCACCTCTGTAAAGTCCCTCCACTAAACTCACTTTGGCGAAGACTTGTGAGAGTACCATCTGCTTCCTGCCTGCTCCCCAAACGATGCAGTAGGCCGTGGTGTTTCCATGGAGATCCCTGGCAGCTGCTGGACCCCATGTCATGTTCTTTGGCTTTAAGCTGCAGACCCAAGCCCATCCCTTCCCACTGGTCAGACATACTCTTCTGCAGGTGCACACACTTTGGATGGACTTTAAATGGACAAACGAATGAACTGTGTAGTAAATGCAGGTTGGAGACCAAAATATTTCAAGAAGTAGGGCCCATTTGGAGGAAAATTTCTAAGGGGAGCCCTTTGCAGGTGAAGAGTTGGGAGTATCTGATCTGTGTCCTCTGGTCAGTCTATGTTCCCTACTTAAGGACCAGCCTACTCTGGAATGTTCCAGTACAGGATCAGGAATCAGGAGTACTTGGTTCCAGTACTGTCTCTCCCGCCAACTACTGAACAAGCCTCTGGGCCTTGTCTTCTCAGATATAAAGTTGGGCTTTGGGACAGGCTGATGAAGACATCCTAACACTCAACACTCGTGGACTCGCAGTGTGCCCGCCACTGTGACAAGAGTTTTACCTGAATTACCTTATGTAATTCTTACAACAACCCCTTACTCTACTATAGTCTTATCTCTCCTATTAGACTAACCAGAGATGGTCCTTACTACATACAGTCCTGGCCTACGCTAAGTGCTTTACCTACTGAAACAGTCGGTGCTCAATAAATATTAATTCAAAGAGTGAATGAATGAATGAATGAATGAATAACATCCTATGAAGTAAGGGCTATTATCATTTCTTTTTACAGAGGAGGAAACTGAGGCTCTAAAATTTTCCTATGACTGTTATCAGCAGCATCATCATTATTATCATCAGCTAGTATTTATTGAGCATGTACTATCCACCAGGCTGGATAGCGCAGTTTATATGTCTTCTTTCCTTTAATCCTCATGACAACCCTCTGAAATACTATTATCATACCCACTTTGAACATAAAGCATCAGAAGCCAAATAAATTGTTCAAGGTCACACAGCTGATCAGGTGAAGAGCTGGGATTAGAACCCAGAGTCTACTTAATCCTAGCACCTTCGAGGTGCCTGCTGGGTCCCTTAGGGTCACAGGCTCCTTCCTGTCCCCTGCCCGTCCAGTGGCGTGGGCCCCCCCGACAGCCGCCGCCCAGGCCGCCTGACCTCCAGTACTCCTCACTGGGGCTGACGGTGCTGGTGAGGTTGAGGGGCAGGGCCCCATTGCCGTCCTTGGAGCCTCTGTGCTCAAGGCAGAGGTCCGTGTTCCACCAGTTGCCACAGTGCTCCCAGGGCAGGTCGCTGGTGAGGGAGGCGAAGAGGTAGAAGAGGACGTAGGCGATGATCATGTTGTAGTAGATGGCCACCAGGCCCACGATGAGCAGCATAGCCGCGCCGGCACCTGGCATGGGGGACAGGGGCTGCCCTTAGGCCACGCCCTCCTGTGGGCCAGGCTGTGTGGCCTCTGGGAAGCCATCCCTTTCTGGGCTTCACTTTCCTCTCTGCCTGGAGGTTGGGGAGTAGGGGACGACCACCCCCAGACCACTGGGGCCTCACCTTTGAAGAGGGGGCTGATTTTCCAGACGGCCAGGGGTCCCAGGCTGGAGAACTGGCCCAGAGAGAGCTCAAGGAAGAAGAGGGGGATGCCGCAGATGGCCAGCATGAGGAAATAGGGCACGAGGAAGGCACCTGAGAGGGAGAGGAAGGGCGAGTACGGTCTCAGGTGGGTTAGCGGCCCCTAAAGCCCAGCTCCGGCCCTGCCCCTCCCCTGGCCAGCAGACACCTCCTGCAGTCTGATGGGGCACTTCACGGTGGGTCGAGACTGTCTTCGTTTATACCATCCGTCACTGAGGGCCAAGGGGCAGGTGGGGATTCACTCACCTCTGTAGTCCCAGTGCCCAGACCAGGGCTGGGCTCAGAGCAGCCTGAGTGAATGAATGAATAAACGAGTGAGTGAATGAGTGAATTCCCTGCTGAAGAAAGTGCAAACTCCTCAGTGTAGAACCCTCCAATTTACCTGCCTGTCCCCTCCCCGCCACACCACCTCAGATGCTTGTGGCTGTCACCTGTGGTCTCGTGTGCCCAGCATTTCTCCCCCTTTTCTTTACATATTGGCAGCCAGCTCCTTTAAAGAATTGTCCACCACCATGTGGCTCCGAAGGGGCTGTAGGTCATATCAGTCAAACCCTGCCCGCCCTCTCGTGGGCACATATCCTGAGCCAGGCCAGTTAGAAACCCTTCCTGATTTCTACATGGATTCATTCAGAGAGAGCAGATCTGAGGATGAAGTCATTCCAGAGTCGTCTCTGGCCACCCCTAACCCCAAATGCAAAGAGGAAGCCTGTCTCAGGAAAAAATGAGGTCAGCCCATGGACAAAAAAGAACTGGGGGTGGAAGTGGGGGTGAGAGAGAACTATGGGTATTATGAAGTTCTCGGAGTTGCAGAGGCCAGCTCCAGTCCCACACTTCCCAGTTGTTTCGATTCATCTGGTCCTTGCTTCATCTAGTTTCACTTGGATTTCTGTTGTCCTGCCATATGTGCTTCTTTAATGAGTTTGGTAGAGATGGGAGGAGACACAGAGGGCTGCATCTGCAGAGGATGATCCTGGGCGGGAATGCTGGGTTGGCCACCGTGTAACCTTGGGCTAGGAACCTGGCCTCTCCAAGCCCCAGCTGCCTTATGACAATGGTGCCCACTCAGGAGGGCCGCCATCAGACTTAAATGAGACAGGCATGGAGAGCACCAAGCCTGGGGCTGGCAGATGGTGAGTGTTCAACCCCAGCTATTGTTAATGAGACTTAGAATAGTTACTTGATGGAGAAGCAAGCACAACAGAGTTTGTTTAAGATGGAAGAGACTCTGTGTTTGCAGTCAGACTAGAAGGAATCAGAAGAGGAGGACAGATTAAAGATTCACAAACAGGAATGATTGATGGAGGAAGGCTCTGGAGGAGGTGGGGGGGCGGTGATGGGGAGAATATTGAGAGCACAGTGATCACGGAGAGGCAGATACAGCTCTTTATCGTGAAGCAGAGGCACTCCTCTGCCCATCACACAGAGCTCAGGAAGCACCAAGGCTCAGGGAGAGAAGCGTGCGGGTATCCATGCCGAGGATGAGAGAGAGAGAGAGAGGGACAAGGCAGGTGAGCTCCCTCCTCCCAGGTCCAGGTTGCTATAAATCACTTTCAATTAATTCCCACCAAGGTCACATAGGAGAAGGTGGCTGAAGCCACTTCAAACCTCAGTCCACCCTGAGCCTTGGCCCATCACCTTGTCACCCATCAGGCAAAACCTCAGGCCCATACCTCCTCCGTTGGTGTAGGCTCGGTAGGGGAAACGCCAGACATTCCCCAGGCCCACGCAGTAGCCAATGCAGGACAGCAGAAAGTCCAGCTTGCCTGTCCAGTTGCCCCGGTCTGCAGCAAAGTCCACGTCCAGGTCTACATCACCTTGGTCACTGGGAGTCATCAGCAGGTCTGGGGTGATGGGCTGCCAGTAAGAGAGACCAAAGGTGAGGCAGGGTCAGACCTAGAACTCTCAAACAAGAATATGGATTTGAATGGGGCTGGAGGAAACACACTTGTTCAGACGATCGACTTCTCTCATCTGGGCCAGTGGGGCCCATCTGCAGGAGCTCCTCGGGGTTTTAGGTGACTGCCAACTCATGATACCAGCAGGATGGCTCAGGCACTAAAAAAGCCACCTCAATCTTAGTTTGGCTAACACAGAGGTAGAATCAAGGGATGGTCCTGTTTCGATGATGACAATGACGATGATAATGATAACGATCTTAACAACAGTTACCATGCGTGGAGCACGTACTAGTGCTCACCGCACTAAACATTTTACTCACATTACCTGACTTCATTCTCAGAACAACCCTATGAGCTAAGTACGTCTAACCTCCATTTTAATTACGGGGAAAACTGAGGGTCCAAGAGGAATCCTGACATACCCAAGGTTTTCACAAGGCTGGCTAGTGAGAGAACTAGGCCTCGAGCCCAGGGTTTCCTGATGCTGAAGACCATGTCTTCAATCATCAATGCTGAAGTTTCGATACTCCGCTCTGGCACCAAATTTTAAGAAAGACACCGACAGTTTGGAGTGTGTCCAAAGGGCTGGTGGCCAGACTGGAGGTTGTTCAGGAAAAGTGGTTACATGAGGACAAGAGGAAGGAGCTAGGGACACTTAGCATAGAAAGGAGAGGACTTGGAAGGCCCTTGCGCTCTGCTGAAGGAAGGAGTAGATTTATATTCAAGGGGGCCTACAGAGGACTGTGAATTTTAGGCCATGAGCAGGAAGAAGCTGCTTAAGTGCTGATCTGTCTCAGAGAGTCGTAATCTTCCTGTCTCTGGAGGAGAGACGCATGCATGGATGGGAATGGAGGCCAGCTGTTCCACTGGGCGCTCTCCCTTCGGGTGGATAAAGACTCTCCTCCAACTGTTTGTCATCTTGGTCCTGAGGGATGTAAGTTAGCATATCCATAAGCTGCCTGGACTTAGGGGCTTGAAGGGGCCCCAAAGATATCAGGCAGACTACCTAAAACTCAGAGAGCAGTTCCCAGAAGTGAGGCAGGAAAGGGTCAGGAAAAAGGGGGAGCCACATCTTTCCTGCTTGCTTCTGAAAGTCTCACCCTATGACAGAGAAGGACAGAATTGTAAAGAAGGCTGATTATCAACTAACGCCCTTGGTTTTCAAGGAGGAGAAAGGACCCTGAGCCTCCCGCTAATAAATGGTTGTGGGGAAACAGTGATTCCACTGGACTGGGAGTCAGGAGACCACGATTTGAGTCCCAGGTCTTGTCAATTCACTGTACAAAGAGTCTTCTGAGCCTCACTTCTCCATCTGGACACTGAGGAGATTGGCGAGATCAGTGTTTACAAAAACACATCCTTTGGGATATTTATAGGTGTTCAGCGGAACAAGGGATTCTTGATTCAAAGAAGTTTGGGAAAAGCTGGGTTAGCACGAAGTGAAAAAGGTTTCTTCCTACAGGACTTGTCTGATACTTTAATGGACCAGCATGCACTATGACTATCCAAATAGGAACTGGACCAGACAGTATTCTCCAATATTGTTTAAGAAAAGTGTTTCAAGGAGCTGGCCTGCTAGGATATACTTGGGGAAATGCAGGTCTAGACCATTTCTAATAGTTTTCTGGCTCTGATGGTCTATAAGAAGAGATTCACCAAAGAGACTTCCCTGGGGACACTTGCAGTGGTCAAGGATCAGATCAGATTTGAGCACAGGGACTCAGGAAATATCTACTGCCCAGGTTTGTGTTCTCCCCTAAAATTGACCTTCCTGGCACTAGCCCAAGTAGGTGTCCACACACAAATCAGGTGGTGGCAGAGAAGGCTTTGCTGGAGATTTGTCATATGAGCATTGCTGGGATGAAGATGGTGAGAGGAGACTACAAGTGTCACAGGACCAAAGGTGTCTGTCTGCGGTGACAAGGTCGGTGCCATGGGCTCAGGTGGCAGAAATGGGGTAACAGTGTTGGTTGACTCTCAGTGATACTGATGGCCATGGGGGCGATCCTGCTTAAGGCTGGCTATTGGGCAGAGGGGCAGTGGTGACAGGGCAGCCTGACATGATTATTGTGACAGTGACAATAATGAAGGGCATAAAAAGCTGCTTCTCAAGTAACTGAGCTCCCAGAGTTGAAACGAATATGTGCCTGGCAGTTTTTGGGGCTGTGATCTCAGACATGCTGGGGCAAGGGTCGTGGCAACCCCTAGACCTATCTGAAACCCACTCCTGCTCCCTGAGGCCCTTTCTTCCATGGCTTCTTCTCCGGTCGAGTGAGCATGAGCCCTCCGGAACCACTCCCTCTCAGGTGAGCTCCAGGAGGGAGAGGGTAGAAGCCAGTTGACACTGGTATTGGGTGGTGAGGCAGGCCTGTCACCTTGTGACCTCCCTCCCTGTCCCATCCAGTCCAGGAGGGGCCAGTAATGAGGCTCCTCTGATCCCTTCTGAGAAGCCGCTGCCCTTTCTATGTTCACAGAGCAGTCCAGGCTCTCTGTTTCCATGGTGACAAGAGTTCTAAGAGCAGGATGCTGCCAGCTCTCTGTCCCCCTCCTCCCCCAATCAGAGGGAAGCCTGCTCCTGCTCCAGGGGCAGGGGATCAGGTTCTCCAAATCTGAGCCAATCAGAAGCCTACCTGGAGCCCCAACCCCACCATGGGGTGAATCCCAGGACGGTGGCACAGAGAGGATGGAACTAGTCAGGAGACAGAGGAAAGCAACCAAATCAATGGGGCAAGGCTGGAAGCTCAATGAGTCACTTCACAGTTCTGCCTGGGTGAGAGGCTCCCACCCGATACCCCTACTCCCCACCCAGGATCACACAGGAACATACCTGAGTTTGGCAGACCTGAGTCCCCTCTTTCGGGGATCAGTAGATGTAAGTCGCCAGCAGCACCAGGGGCTGGGAGAGATAGGACTGCTGGAGCCAAGGCCCTCATACCTTCTCCAGGATGAGAGAGACAGTAGGGATCTAGAGTCAGCCTTCATCATCATGCAGATGAGGAAACTAAGTTTCAGGGAAGGGACAGGATGAGCCCAAGGTCAAACAGCAAGTTAAGGGCAGAGCAAGACCAGGACTCAGACCCTTGGCTCTCAGCCCAGTGCTCATCTCTGAGCAACTCTGCTCCGTTGCTGATATCTGGCATTTCCTGCCTCCCTACCACCCTGCCCTTTCTATGAAAGGGGGACCCTGAGGCCAGGCAGCTCCACCCCTGCCCGTTTGGACTTTGGTGCTCAGCCCACCTTCAGGGAAGCAGTAAGCTGCACCCGTCTGTGCTTCGGTTTCCTTGTTTATAAAGTAGAGATAATAAGACTTAGCCCCCAGAATTTTAGGGGGTTACATGAGATATGACTTCACAAAACATGGCTATATTTACATACTGCATGGCCCTCTGGCGGTGAGGGGCAGGGGCTCTTGTGGGGAGCGAGAAGAAAGGGGAGAGAGGAGAATGGAAAAGCACTGGGCAGGACTCAAGACCCAAAAGACCCACAAATGGCCCCGAGAAGTCACTCAATTCAGGAATAAAAAGGAACCTCTTATCACAGAGAGCTTGAATGAATGATGGGGTGGGGCGGGAGTGGGCAACGGCACCCGCCCCCGTGAGATGTTCTCTCACATCTATGAGCCCTGTGAGTCCACTGCACACACCCCACCCCCACCCACACCTCCACCTCAGCCCAGGACAGTGGGGCCTGCTTTGGTTGTCTGACACTGGGGATGGACCGGCAATGGTCCAGGTTAGAGAATGGACTTGCCCAAAGCCACAGGGTAAGTGGCATCTGCAGAAACAGTACCCTAGAATTCTGACTCCTTTGCTGGGAGTGGTACTTTTAAGCCAAAAGCCAGAAAACTTGCCCTAATACTCTACTTCCCCAACCACACACGCATTGACTGGGAAGTCCGACCCCACAAGACAAGGTGGGGAGGGGCTGAGGTTTGGGCCCAGGGCCCCAGCAACACATAGATCTGGCTGCCTCTCTCATGCCAGCTCCCACCCCCATATCCCTCGGCTCTCCAAATTCCACCCTTCTTGGCTTTGGCTCCTTTTGCCCTGCTGAGGGCCTGCCTGGGTCTGAGCTGCCAGGAGGAGGAAGGGAGTGGGGGAGGAAGTAAGTGGGGGGCCCACGGGCAGGAACATGAGCAGGAAAGATCGTGTCCCTGCTGCTCTCAAAGGCTGCTTCAGTGTACAGTGCACAGATGAGGACCCGACCGAGGCCCCCACCCACCTGCTCTGAAACTAGCCCAGCTAAAGTCTGGTGCTCAGTTATTCTTACACCCCCACCCCCAGTAAGCCCCTGGGGAAAGTGGGTGGGGGACTGCTGAGGGGCCGCTGCCTAGCCCCAGCCACCCCTACCTTGCACCTCCTGGGGCTGCAGACACCTGTTCACAGGACGTAGCCCAATGAACCCAGCCCCCAACGCACTACCTCTCGACCCCCAGAGAGGTGTGGGGTGGTGTGGGGTGGCACAGACCGCGACCCTGCACCTCCCTGCAATCCAGTTCAGCTCGGCCAACCCCAGAGCTCTCAGTTGGGTCCAGATGCCCTCCTCAACCCTCCCGGGCCTGGATGGAGGAGGGCCTCTGCACCCCTCCCTCAAATGCTCCCCCAGCCTCCCCTCGTGCCCTACCTTGCGGAGTTGAGCTCCCTGGAGCTTCTTCATCTTGGAGGGCCGGTTGCTGGGGCTTCCGGCTTGGCTTCCTTTCAGCGCAGAGAGCAAGCGACTGAGCAGGAGATGTGCCGCGACCAGCGCCGCGCCTTTGCCCCGGTGGCTCCGGCGCACGGGCTGGGGGATGCGCGGGCGCAGGCGCTGCCGTCTGTCGGCTGCGGGTGTGGAGCGCGAGCCGGGCTCTGCGAACGCCTTCCTCTCCCTGCGCAGGGCCAGAGATTGGGGAGGGGTGCAAGGCTGCGCCCGCGTAGACACCTAGACAGACAGCTGACTGACAGACAGCTAAGGGGGTGGGGGGTGGTATGCGCGCCCCTGCGCGCTGAGCTGCGATTGGAGAGGCCAAGCGTATAAGGAGGTTGGGTCCGCAACCGAAACCCTTGGAGGTCTGGAGGCTTCAGTCAGTCTCCTGCGTGACCTTGGCCAAGTAACCTGCCCTCTCTGGGCCTCCCTCTCCCCAGCTGGGCAATGAAGGAGGCAGGGCATGCACGTGGACACTAACAGCTGGTTGTAGGTTCCAGCATCCCAGTGCCTCCTCTTCTCGGCTGTGTGACTTGCCCACTTTGCTTAAGCTCCGAGCACTGCCATCTCTTCATCTGGAAAACGGGATAAGTATCATTTATAAGAATGTGAGGATTCAGGGAGATAGTGCATACAAAATACTTAGCCCAGGACTGGGCACATAGTAAGGGCTCAGTTAACATTTATTGACTGACTGTGGGTTGTCCACTCCCGCTTACAAAAGACCAGCCATTAGTCAGATATTTATCCAATCATCCAATCCAATATTTATTAGGCACCTAAAGTGTGCCAAATCTGGACGAGGTCTTATTTTCTCAACAGTGATCTCGAGAGGCAGATGGTATTATCCCTATTTTACGGGTGAAGAAACTGAAGCACAGAGAGGTTAAGATACTCGCTGAAGGTCACAGAGGTGGTGAATGACACCTGTGACAGAGTCAGGTCTCATAGACCTTCTGGGCTAGTGGTGGTTCTGAACAATCCTCTTTTCCTTGGGATGAAAGTGAAACACGGATGTTTGAGCAAGAAGAAGGGACAGGACAAGTGCCACCGTGTTGTTGTGATGGTTTATGACTTAGAGTAAGAACACCTGGGTTCTTGTCCACCAGCGGTATGACCTTGGGAATGTTATGATTGCATATCTGCAAAACGGGCCATCGACCAGCCCTTGCGAGCCTGGCTGACTTTTCAGAGTGCTGTGAGGGTCCGGTGAGCCTGTGGCTAGGATGGGAAATATTAGCTAGAGTGATTATGTGCATTGGTTTGTGGGACTGAACCAGTACCTGCCAGTGGACCTGGCATATGCACTACAAAATACATTACAAATTGCGCCCCTTTCACTCTTGAAAGTGTACCAGCTCACACTATTCCATAGGGTCACCATCAGCCAACACGGGGAGGTCTTTGGAGAGAGTAAGAATAGGTGCTGCCATTCCCATCGCTGGAGCCTGGAAAGAGGTGGGAAGGGTTTAAATCAAAGCCCGGGCTTGGGTTAAAGACCTGGCCAATCCCTGGTCCACCTTGCCTCCCCAGGTCCCACCCAGTTGTTTGTTCCTTGAAGCCTCGCCTCACAGGGCAGGCCAGGGCCTCTCCAGACACAGGAGGAAGGAGCCCTTTGGCCATGAATGTGAAGGGAAGGAGCATTCATTGAGCTCTCCTGTGTACATTAGATGAACTCATATCCAATACTTAATTTTTAATTCTTTCCAGGTTTGTGCATCCCCATTTGGCATCTGAGGAAACTTTCTCAGAGCACCAAATCTTGGGTTTTGGAGGGCCATGGGCCATGCCTGGGGAGAGGCAAAAGCCAGGGGCTCCTAAATCCAAGGAGGCCCAGGCAGGATGCACCCCCACTCTCCTCCAGGGCCTTTGTCACATCTCTCACAGGACAGGAGGCAGTTTTGCTGAACCATCCCCCTCCCATCGTGCTGGAGTTTCATTAGACCCTATGGAAGGCACAGAGAACCACAGGAACAGTGATTAGAGGCAAGACATTGGCTCAGGAGCCCCGAAGACTGGCCTCTTTATGGCCCCTTCCCAGCAGCACCTGCTTCCCCCAAATCTAACCCTGGGAGGAGCCAGACCTGAGGGAGGGGGAAAGAACAGGGCTGGGACTGTAGCCTTCCTCAAGCAAACACATCATGGGGTGACCACTGAATATCAGTAACATTCACTAGGGCTGCGAGTGCAAATGGGTCTAGGCCCACACCTTTCAAATGGAGAAACTGAGGCCGGAAGAGGTAGGACTTCGCAAAATCACTCTGTGGAGTAGAGGCAGGGTCAGGCCTGGAACTAGGAGTCTGACACCACCCAGGCTTTGCTCTCACATCATACCTTTCTGCCATCCTCTCCCCATCACCACAGCCTTTGTTGGAAAAGTCTGTACTTTATAAAACAAACAAAACCCTAACATTAGAAGACATCATTTACCCATGAGGCTCCAGTTTTATGATCAGACAATTGACCACGAGTTCAGCTACCAGGCGCGTTAGACAATTGCTACCACGGCCTCCCCTCTCCCCCATCCCCGAGGAAGTCTGGGTGCTACTTGTCAAAATTACTACTTAAGAATCTAAACCCGTGAATACTTAATCTATCTCCCTTTCCCTCTTCCCTCCTCTCTCTCTCTCTCTCTCTCTCCTGGTCTCACATCAAAAGTGAAATGGAGCTGTGTGCTAATTTAAGGAAAGTGTTAGATGAAAATGTACTTCCTTTTATTACATAGGGAGATATTTTTAAATGTATATAAATAAACATTTTTAATTTGCTTTAATGTTCAGACTTTATCACTGTAGAGCATGTGTTTTGTTACACCGGTGAGTGGCGACTGTGAAAAATGAGGCTCCAGACTGCTAGTCCATCTGGCGTGATTCAGAGAAAGTGGTTCCGGAGCAGCCATGTTGGGACAGGATCCCCCTCCTAAGCCGCCCTGTCCTGGGCCCGCTGTGCTCCCAGGCTTTGCATCTCATCTACCCCAGAGCCAGGCTGCTTTCCTTTTTTCCTTGGAGGTCCACATTCTTCTGTCACCAGGACTTCCCAAACTCACTTGACCAGGGCCATTTCTTTTGGTAAATTAGCTCCCCAGTTGTTCAGATGGGTAAACAAGGCCTAGACAGGGGAAGCAGTCAACCCAGGGTCTCTCAGCAAATGTGTTCGAACATACATTGTGGAAACTATATTCACTCGCGGCCAGCTACCCTTCCACCAACCCTCTTCCTCTGCTCCTGGAACCCTGGGTTCTTCCCTTGGTACCACCTGGTTCCCACGCCTGAGATGTCCACTAGCCGCAGTGAAGCCACAGCAGCTCCCAGGCCACCAGCGGGAGGAAAGAGGAATTGCCTGAGGCTCTTCAGGGGCTCGTGTACGGAAGGGATCCACCTCTGCCTTGTCATGTGCCCCTGGAGCAAAGGGCAGGCAGGCAGGCAGGCCCTGCACACTTTTTATGGCTGGGCCACCTCCCAGAACAGTAAACAGAGGGGCAGGCAGCTGGCACCGGAGCTCTCTCGGGAATGAAGGCCCCCCGTAACAGACTCCTGCCCACTTCTGAAAGGAGGCTGAGAACAGCAGCTTTTCCCAGGAGTTTTAGAAATTTATACTTTAAGTTCATACGGTTCATATTCTTTTTTACCATTCCTCCCTTATTGGCCTGACAGCACTCACTAGTCTTTTAGGCCTCAGTTCAAACCCCGCCTCCTCCAGGAAGTCTTCCAGACCCTCCTGGATAAGCTGGGAGTCCGCTCTGGACTCCTTGGATGCTTTGCTCCCCGATGCTTGGACTGAGAACTTTTGAGTGGCAAAGACTGTGCATTCCTTGGACCTAGCCATGCCTGACACATAGGGGTGCCCAACGAATGTTATCTGTTAAAAAATCTAAGCCAAAAGTATTTGAAAAATTCAAAAGACTGATATATTGAGTCTGATGGTTCTGCTTTCAGAATGGACGTAAAATTTTACAGTCTCATTGACTTACTCTAACAATGTCCTGTTTTGATCATCCAAATGCATTTTAAAGGTGACCTTGTTGTAGGCTGACAGAGGCTGGAAGCGATTATGCAATTGTTAGGGAAGGGTAAGGATGGTTTTTACTTAACATTTTCCTTTAATTCTATGTATAATGAGTTTTATACATCTTTAAAAAGAGAAAAAAATTTATTCTTGAAGCTGCATCCAAGAGATTCCACTCTATGTACAACACTTGCCCAGCTGTGAACTCTGCATGGTCCAGTGGAAGTCCTCCCTGGGCCCTGAGGGACAGTCTGGTGGCATGGAACTTGGCACGTGGACTCTGCCCCTCTGTCCCCCTCCAGGGGCCTCCCTCCCATCTGGAGGCCCCACTGACAATGCTAGTGAGGGAATATGGCTCTTAACCCAGAGGGGACGGTCATCAGAGCCTCTCCTTCAGGCCCAGGCCTCTGGGCTTCGTATTCTGCATCAGCCAGGAAGGGAGGGATTCAGGGCCTGTTGAGATGGGGGTGGGCAGAGGTGAGGCTGCAGGAAGAGGCACGTATGAGCCGACCACATGCCTCCCCACAGGTCATGGTCTGCAAACATTCAATCTTCCCTCAGCTCCATCTCCTTTCTCCAGGTCAGTCTAATCCCTACAGCAGCCTTCCATCCTTAAACACGTGGAGAAGGAGGTGGGACCTGGGGATTTATCTTGGCCCCTTTGCCCAGCCCTCTGGGGATTGAGACCTCCCACCCTGGGCTCCCGTATGCCCCTGAGGTCTAGAACACAAGGGCTAGAAAAGGTCCTTATCCCATGGGCTCAGATGGGCCAAGGGGCTGAGTGGGTGACTTGTCCAAGGTTACCCAGAAGATCAGTGTCAGGGTTGGGACTCAGATCAGGGCTCCTGGGCCCCCAACAGGAGCCACATTCCTAGCATCTGAGTCCCAGGTTCCCAGCCCACAAGGCTGGGCAGGGGGCTATGGCAGATACTCCTCCTTGACAGGCACTGGGGAGGCAGTGCCCAGGAGGCTGGCAGAGCTGGGGCATAGAGCCCCCAGGGGTGGTCCAGCTGGAGCTGGGGTGACTTCGTGGGCTGGCGGTGGTGGCTGCGGGGGCTGCTGCTGCTGCTGCTGCTGCTTCTTCTTGTTCACTTTCCGCTCCTTTGCCCGCCGGTTTTGGAACCAGATCTTAACCTGTGGTTTCGGAGAATAGAGATGGGTGGTGCAGAGAGAGACCCAATGACAGAATGAGAGGAAGGGCAGGAGGAGAGCTGAGCTCTTATTTCTTGATGTGGCCTCTGTGGCCTCCCTCCTGCACCAGCCACCCAGACCATTCATGGACCCCGAACACGTTCTCCCCCTCTAGAACTTGTTCCCTTGCTCTAAAGACGACTTCCTCCGTAACCTTCTTCCTCCCCATTTTCCAAAGCCATGCTCTAACACCCCTCCTCCAGGAAGACTTCCGTGTTCTCCCTCTGACTGCTCCCTCCTCTGGATTTAAACTGTACTAATTATAGCTTGCTGTAGCCTATAGCTAATTAGATACCCTATTTTCCCACTGGGGGTCAGGGATATTGGATTTTGTTGAGAAGAAAGAGGATTTGGCAGTAGCTCAGTTTTTGCTGTGCTATGTGACCATGGCAAGGAGATTCAATCTCTCTGTTCTCCTCCCTTGACTGAGCTCCATAATTTATCCTCAGCCTGGAAGCCAGACTCCCAGTACTGCTCCTGTGGCTAAGGTTGAGGGACTCCCCACACACCTGCCGTTCAGTGAGCCCCAGATTGGCAGCCAGCTCTGACTTCCGCCGGATGGTGATATAACGGCTGTAGTGGAACTCCTTCTCTAGCTCCAGGCGCTGGTGGTCTGTGTAGACCACGCGGTACTTGTCCTTGGTCCGGGTCTTCCCTGAGAATCAGAGGGGCCAGGAGGGGAGGTGAGTAGCGAGGAGGAGTCTGCAAAAGAGCCAGGCAGGGCCCCCTCAGCCCCCCCAAGGAGGACCTGTGATGAGGAGGGAGGTCTACCCCAGCCCTGGGGGTGACAACCATTCCCCCAGGCTCGGGCACACAGGCTCCCAACCTGAGAGGCAAGCACTACTTCAGGCCCACATGGGAGGTGCTGAGGCTCAGAGAGGGGATGCAACCTGCTCAGGGTTGCACAGTCAGCTGCTGGTGGAGTTGGGGTTTCACACCCGTCTCCTGACCCAGAGCTTTACTCTGATCGCCGGCTCCTCCAGCTTTAACCCAGCAGCTTCCGGATGTGGCTGCACAACAGACACTCTGGGAGCTTGTGGAAAACACTGCTTCCAGGG